GGTACGCCTGTACTAGTATGCCATATTTTCATGCTTCATTTTTTTTGGCGGGGGGGGCTCTTGGTGCAGAAAGTAATCACTAATTCAAAGGTTCCTCTTTCCCTAATCCTAACCTTAAAGCGACACTAATTCTAATTCAGAAAAAAAAAAAAAATCTATCCCGGTATGTATTCTCAAAGTGGTTGTAAATCTCAGACATGAAATATGAATGAAGCATATCCCTCTATAGTTTCAATACAGAGTACTAAGTGTAATTTCTGTCAACTGCCTCATTCCTCTGCTATAAGGATGAGTCACATGGCTGGATCTAGGGGGGTGCTGGGGTGGGCTATGCCACCCCAGATTTCACCTACCCCCCCCCCCCCCCCCCGAAAGCCAATCGTCCCCAGTGTTGTCGACCATTTATAAATTATGGTAAGCCCCCAGAGCGGGGCTGAATGCGGTCGGGAAGGGCAGGATTCAAAATACATGAAGTACAGGCTTCCTAGAAGGTATGATAACATTCAAACAAACAAATCACGGAGGACTCCACAGGCTGCAGCATCTTCAAGACGTCTAATGATCAGTGTGCGGCTTAGGCAATAATCACCCTGAGTAGGGAATGACTCCCCTCACTCTTGTCCCACTTGGTTACTTTTTTATTTATTTACTTTACACCGGATGGACGGGTGAACAAGCTGATCATTAGACTTCTTGAAGATGCTGCATCCGGCATTACAATTCCACCTGAGTGGTCACACATCACTAGTGATGGCTTTCAGCTGTTTATATAGAACTGTTTGTGATAGAGTCCTGTGTGTGCCCTTGTTTGATGGTTTCTTTTATGTTTCCTTTGCAGGATTTAGCCTGGTCAGGCTGGCAGCTTCGCATACTTATGAACTGTTTACTGTCCACCTAACTGTGCTTTCTGTAACTTTGTTATATTTTGTAAGGCCCTGTTCACATTTAATGCAGTGACCGACATCTTTCCACACTGGGAAAACACCACTCACTGCTAGAACACATGCTTGTAGTCTCTGACCATCTCCTGTACCATGTTTTCAGTCTCTGACCCTCTCTCATACCATGTGTGCAGTCTCTGACCCTCTCTCATACCATGTGTGCAGTCTCTGACCCTCTCTCATACCATGTGTGCAGTCTTGAACCTCTCCTGTACCATGTGTGTAGTCTCTGACCCTCTCTTGTACCTTGTACTGTGTGTGCAGTCTTTGACCCTCTCATGTACCATGTGTGCAGTCTTTGACCCTCTCCTGTACCATGTGTGCAGTCTCTGACTGTCTCTTGTATCATGTGGGCAGTCGCTGACCATCACTTGCATCATGTCTGCAGTCTCTGGTCGTCTTTTGTATCATGTCTGCAGCGTCTGGCTGTCTCTTGTATCATGTCTGCAGTCTCTGGCCATCTCTTGTATAATGTCTGCAGTCTCTGACCATCTCTTATATTATGGCGCAGTCCCTGACCCTCTCCTGTATCATGTCTATAGTCTTTGGCCATTTCTTGTATCATGTCTACAGTCTCTGACCATCTCTTGTATTATGTCTGCAGTCTCTGGCCATCTCTTGTATTATGTCTGCAGTCTCTGACCATCTCTTGTATTATGTCTGCAGTGTCTGCAGTCTCTGACTGCAGTCTCTGACCATCTCTTGTATCATGTCTGCAGTCTCTGACCATCTCTTGTATTATGTCTGCAGTCTCTGACCATCTTCTGTAGTATGTTCTGCCACTAAAGGGGCAATTTGGAATAACAGACAGGATCACTGCAATTGTGCCTGTGATTTCAAAGTGCAGCAAATTGCGCAATGCACATATGGGTGCGATTATTCTGTTCTGTCATTTTCTCAGGTTGTAAGTTAAACATGTTCTCTTTTAGTAATTTTTTCAAGTCTTGTCAATAAAAAAGATGCAGAGGGTTGTCAACCCTGCACCCCCCCCCCCCCCTCTACCTCAAACCCTGTGCCAGGCAGCTAAACTCCTTCCCACATAGCACATAGCCGAAATCAGATTCCCTTTCACAGCCATGATCTACATAATGTGCAACTGGCTGCTATGTTGCAGTTTTGACCTGTGAATTTCCCTGATCAGAATGCCAGTGCAGCTGCAGTAACCAGCTACACATCGTGCAGAATATGGTTGTGTGGAGGCGAAACTCTGCTGCCTGTGCCCAGGCTCTGCCCTGTCAGCAGTGACCCCTGTACACTGCCCTTCTGACCACTGTCCTCTGCCCTACTGATTCCTGTACACTCTTCTTCTGACTTTTGCCCTGCAAACTGCTGACCTCCAATCCTCCGCCCCACTACAATTTTTTACTGCACCCCCAAATCCGACTAGCTAGATTCGGCCCTGATGAGTCACTTCTGAAGTGTTTTCCTGACACCATGAGAAAAATGGTGACAGGGAACGCAGCCTGTGATTGAAAGCCTCAGCTCTGTTCCTGTGTGTGCTGTGTGAAGGGAGCTGTGTCTCTTCCCTCCAACCAGCTCTCAGAGCTCTTCTCACTAATGTAACTCCAGCTCCCCGCCCCCTTGCTTTTCAGAGCTGAGAAATCCTGGGCAAATTCTGCACTTTGAATGGATGTACAGGACAGATCCCAGCAGGTAAACAGGTACAACTTACAGTATCTAGGAGGATTTGTTTCATCTCTGTGTATCACCTGTCACTTCACTGGGTATATTTAAGGGTTTACAATCACTTTAACTCAGAAGAGTCCTTTCTATTGCTCTCAGCCTCCTCCAAATCATAAATGCCAACATTTTCCTATGGTAACACAGTGAAGTGAGACATCAAGGGTTAAAAAGACTCCTGATATCTCATTAAAGAGAACCTATCACATAGCGGACTCTTGGTCCCCTCTAGGATAAAAAATAAGGTTTAATGAAAAAGCATAAAAAAAAATAAAGTTTACACCCATGCGCTCAAACTCACCCCCCCCCCCAAAAAATCTTTGAATCCCACATATACGCACATATAAACATAAATGCATGTGTCAGGGAGGAATCCTGTAAGTGAAAGAAAAACGGTGATAGAGAGAAATCAGGTTGCCTACTCTGCTAGACAGAGCTGTGCTGTGTGGCAGAGCTGTATAAATTTCAGAACTGAATGGGCAGAAATACAAATCCTTTGGCAGGCTGCTATATAAGTATTTCATCTGTGCACTGAGCTGTTTGCCTGGAGCTCAGCTTTAAAACCCAATTTAAATTTTTGTTTACATTCCACGTGTTTCAAAAACAAAATGTGTTCAAAGTCTTACAGGTTATTTTTCCAAAGCAGAGGTGTCTCTGCAGAGGTCTGACTCACCCCCTGCTGATTCAACACCTAGATCTCTAATTAGAAAAGTTTATGTGGTCTAGTGATTGGAGAGCTCAGGCCCTGACTCAGCAGGGGGCGTGTGGGACCTCAGAGAAGAGACCACTACTTTCACACACACAGCAAAGGTCCTTCTTCTCTGCATGCTGGCAAGGGACAGGCTTTTCTACTGAGGGTTTGGCTGGTTTGTTTTTTTTTAATATACAGAAGATAAGACATCTTGTTTTGTTACATCTGGAACATATTGAGCTGATTTAAAGTGGTATTAAACCTAAAACTAAAAATTGTATATATTGAAGCTTACCAATCATTAGATGTGGTGCCTGCATTATTTTTCTTTTCTTAGGCTTTCTCCCCTTTGTTTTCACCTGGTGATCTGGCCAGTAAACACACCCCCAGTATTAGTGAGACACAACTTTGGAGGAATGAGTGCAAGGCACAGCAGACAGCAGCACTGTCAGTTTTGGGGGGTAATGGAATGTTATTGTATTCAAATCTGCTAATGCATGAAAGTGTTACTAAACCCCGGACCCTGCATAGTGGTGTCCCACAGTACACAGAACATGGAAATGTAATTATTTTAGTAAATATAAACTGCTAAATACTTTTTCTCATCAGCAGTTAGAGCAGTCTTGTGACTTCAGCTGAGCACTGGTTAAAGCTTGTAGGAGGAGTTTTCTTAGTGCTCTAGAAGGGTGCAAAACCCCTGATCTCTGTCTGGACAGTGCTGATTGGCCCTGTGCTGATCACATGCACTCTTCCAAGGAAATAAGAAACCTCTCTAGCAATACACACTAAACTGAGCATGTGCCTCCGGGTTCAGCCTATCTCATCAGGAGATGTGGACATTTGAACAAGAAGAGGGGCAGAGAAGACAGGATCAAACGCCTTTTTATACAATGCGGAGGATTAACCCCTTAGGTTCCACAGTGAGTATAACAGGCATGCTTTACTGCATATACAGACTGATTTTACTGTTGTGGGTTTAGTAACACTTTAACTATTTGAAGCCAAACTCCAGCTCACACTTTATAATCAGTTACAGCAAATCAGTTTTTCTTTTTGGGATAAAGGTTTTACATAAATAAATAAAAGCTGATTATTTTAATCACCCGGTTAGTGGTAAATGAACTGCTCATTCTCATGCATGTAAACAGATACATTCTGCAGGAGAGCTTGAGCTTCTGAAAAACAGCAGACTTGTTGGCTGGATCTCCAGATAGAAAAAAAAAAACCTAAAAAAGAAAACTAACTCAGCATCACATCTAAGAATTGGTAAGCTGCAATATAATAAATGTATGCTTTTGAGTCCAATACCGTGTTAACTGAAAGCTCAGTTGGGATTTAAAGTGGAACAGTCACATTGAATATAATGCAGTGAAAGAGGGCACTGAGGTTATCCATTTAGATCGGGTTCACACTATGCAGTGCGGGACACCGCATGTAATTCGCACGGGAATCGCACCGCATTCCTGTGCAAATTCCAGGCAAATGTCTGTGCGGTGCGATTTAAGCCATACACTTTTTATGGCTCAAATCGCATCACATCCGTACCAAAAAAGTGCAGGACTCTTTTTTAAATCTGCACCTGAATGGCATGGCACAGTTCTCACCCATGCGGTGAGATTTCTGGTAATTGCGTTTTGCGATCTGTTTAACCTTCCTGGCGGTATTCCTGAGTGTAGCTCGGGGTAAACTTTCAGTACCAAATGCGGTAACCCCGAGCTACACTCGGGAATACCTTGCAGTGTTGCTCAGGGATTCCCTCGATCACTTACCATGTCCTTCGCTCCCACGATGTTCCCCCTGCAGCGTCCCCAGCCATGTCCTCCGGCTGATGTCGCCATCCGTCTTCCGGGTTCCGTTCCCTGCGAGCATCGGGACGTACGGGGGACGGAACCGGCGGGAAATTCAAAGATTTTAAAAGTGACCTTCACTCAATACACTAAAATCACATAGTATAAACATTCCTGTATCAAACCATTTCACATACATTTTGTCCCGAGTGCTTTGTCCGGCGCCCTGCCTGCATTTTTACTGTTCTTTCTGCCTGAAAACTGAGAAACGTCCATGGCGTCCAAAAAGCGCCCCTTTATGTCAAAATCGGTTTTAGACCGGCTAGAGAACAGCGATAGTAAATTAGAACCACTTGCAGAATTGAGTGCTAATGATTCGTGGGGAAATTCCTCATCAGACACTGAAAACGATTTTGCGACTTTGCTCAGTGATGTGCGAACTTGGCAAATTTCAGTGTTTTTGGTTTGATTACATTATCGAATTAAATGTATTATTATATTATTATTTTTTATGATTATTATATTATAATTTTATGATTTTGTGTTCCAAATTTAATCATACCCGGGACGTTTACTAGACTCTTGTTCGGACAGATTTCATTGAGTTAATCCTAAGAATTACAGGCCTACAATAAAAAAACAACATATTTCCATGCAAAAAAATGTACCACTTTGAGCACAGAAATATGGACATAATCAGACCGCTAGGGAGGTTAATGGTGTCATTAATTTATTATTGACACCCGCACCAGGCTGCATGAATGTGATGCAACTGAAATACGGAGCGGGAAATGCACAGGATTTGCAGTGTTTCCTGCACCGTATAGGTGTGAACCCGGGCTTAAACTTCTTATGGTAAGCAGGGAATGTCAAACCTCCTCCCAAGCCCCCCAACCCCTCAGATTATGCTCCCCTGTAAAGAGTACCTGTCTCTTCCATATACTTAGTGGGTTTCTGCTTTCAGCCACAGCATAATTCAAGATACAGGAAAACCCGCCAGACTCCGTCATCGTTATATCTGTAACACATACTTAGCTGATGGAGTGCTGAGTCTCCTAGCTGAATCACCATTTGTCTGTCTTTTATCAACATTTCAAAACACCATCAACATTAAACATAGCCAAGAAGAGAAAGAGGGAAAAGAACATGAGAGGTCCATCTGCCCACACTATATAAATCTGTCATTCTTGTCCCCGTGGCCATTCATGGGAAAAATATTCCATATTTCTTTTCTACTCCAATAATGGCACGGCTGAGAGCCTAGTGGTGGCACGTCATATACAATGCTACACTCATATTTAAACACTTCTGCAGAAGTCATCAGACTTTCTGGCGGAATGCCCACGCCTTGGCTACTGATGGGATTTTTATTTAGGAAACCCAAAATATTCGAAAGAATAGATATAGATTCGGTGGCCAGAAAAATAGAAAAACTCTGTTCATAACTGCATTGAACCATCGCTGATAATAGCTTGCATGCTATGGCGGAAAACCCTCCGGAGTTCTGTGATCTCAACCATTTCTCTGCCAGAGTCGGTTTTTGGTTTTGTTTTTGTGATTTATTTGCACTTTTAAAAAATCCTTTTCTGACAGACAGACATAGCAACCCTGCCCTCTCCAATCCTATAGGACCACACTCTAGGGTTGCCACCTCATACAAAGAAAATACTTACAAAGAAAAAACTGGTCACCTACCCAGGTCTATAACTGGCTTTTTAAACAGTGAACATGGAAGGCGTCACAAAGTAAAAAATAGGACTGTCCAGCCTACCCCAGTCTAATAATGGCTATTGTCGGCAAGGAACATGGATAAGCAGGGGCGGACTGACCATTTGGAAACTCGGGCACTGCCCGAGGACCCGGGGTCAGTAGGGGGCCCCATGAGATGCCCCTGGTACCTTTTTCATAGGCTTTTTTGAGTTTGGGCAAGGACACAGGGGCCCCATGATCCCGTATTGCCCGGGGGCCCCATGAGTTGTCAGTCCGCCCCTATGGATAAGTATAACTTATCAAAAGAGGGGGATAAGAAAGCCAGCTCAAACTGCCAGCCAGTCAGCCAACTATCAAAAACCAAATTAACCTGTCTAAGAACATGCGTTTAAAAACAGGGGTTTAGTTAGCACACATTTGCAAATACATACGTAAGCCACAGAGCCACAACACGGCACCCTGAGTATCTGTGGTCCTAACTCTATAAATCTTGAGAGTCGTCACAATGGAGGCACATGCATTTAAATGGATAGAAACAAGGGCAGGTGAACCTGAGGGAGCCCACCCCTCATTAAGGTCATGGGAGCGCACCTGACACCCAGCATGTAGCACAACGGCAGCCAGGGTGTCCAATGCACCCACTGAACCTCCAAAAATTAACATACAAAGAAAAAACTGGTCACCTACCCAGGTCTGTAACTGGCTTTTTAAACAGTGAACATGGAAGGGGTCACAAAGTAAAAAATAGGACTATCCAGTTCAACTTGCCAGCCTACCCCAGTCTAATAATGACTATTGTCGGCAAGGAACATGGATAAGTATAACTTATCAAAAGATAAACCTTTAAACCTGAACACATATTAATTACACCGGTTCTGTGGCTGGTTAAGGTGGTAATTAAGCTCACTTAGTGCCTTATCTGCTTTAAATTATTCTCAGAACCTGTGTAATTAATATGTGTTCGAGTTTAAAGGGATGAGGTGACAACCCAACCACACTCCCATAAATTTTTGCTCAGAGCCATAGGCTGTCTTCCTTTTTGTCCTCCTCCTAGGACCTGGTGTGTTTGAAATCTTACCTTGTTCCTGCACTCAGGATGACAGCGGCCAAGGCCTGGTGGCTCAAGGTGCAACCCATTTTACGGGAGACTTGAGGAGATGTGCCCCTTGTTGGCCCCAGTGGTCCCCAGCTATCAGCGGGGTAGAGGAAGGGGCAGATGGATGCGGTGTTGATGCAGAGCAGATGCATCCCTCTTCAGTTCCAGGAATCCCCAGCTATTAGCAGGATGGAAAAAGGGTGGAAGGATGCAGTACCATGAAGAGCTAAGGCCCTGCCACTGGCAATTTGGCTGGGTGGCCCTGCTGTTAGCGGATGGCCATATTACATAGTTACATAGTCTGGCTGAAAAAAGACAAAAGTCTACCAAGTTCAACCACTAAAAAAAAAAAAAAAAAAGTTATATTCCTACACCCACAGTTGATCCAGAGGAAGGCAAAAAATAAACAGCAAAGCTTGATTCAATGCATCCGGCTATTCTCTCCAATCTCTCTGAGGATTGCAGTAATCTATCGGCCTCCTGGACCCGTGTCCCGCTTTCTCGACGACTTCTCCGCATGGCTACCCTTCTTTCTCTCCTCAGCCCCCCGAGCTACCCACCATCATCCTTGGAGACTTCAACATCCCTATCAACATCAATAACCCGGCTACATCCCAACTCCTCCACCTAACCTCTTCTTTTGCACTCGCACAGTGTATACAGTCCACCACCCACTCCAACGGGAACACCCTGGACCTTGTCTTCTCCCATCTCTGCACTCCCCACAACTTCACAAACACCCCCTTCCCTCTCTCTGATCACAACCTCATTACCTTCTCTGTCTCCTCGTCATCAAACACCTATCCCTCCAAACATCAAACTATCACCAGCAGAAACCTCCGCAACTTGAACCCTGCCACTCTGCAGCTGACCAACTTTACGACAGTATCCTTCCCCTCTCCTGCCCAGACCTGGCCACTACTGTTTATAACAACTCGCTATCAGCCGCCTTAGACTCGTTAGCACCCCCAACAACACGAAGCATTAGACCCCGACTGCTACAACCCTGGCAGACTGACCATACCAAAAATCTCAAACGGCGCAGTCGAGCGCTGGAGCGACTATGGCGCAAAACCAGATCCCAACAAGCGTTCACCCGATATAAATCCGCCTTCCTAACCTACACTTCCTCCCTTCACGCTGCCAAGCAAGCCTACTTTGTTACCCTTATTAATACCTTCTCCTCCAGTCCTCGCCGGCTCTTCTCTGCTTTTAACTCTCTACTCTCTCCCCCGCCACCTCCACCTAGTACCTCACTCACCGTCCACGAGATTGCTAACCACTTCAAAAACAAGATCGACGCAATTCGTAGGAACATCGCCACTGCTCAGACTTCCACCCCACCTAGGGTTCCTCACACTAAAACCCCCTCAACACTCCACTCATTCGACCTCGCTACCACTGAAGAGGTCACTAAGGTCTTCTCTGAAGCCCGCCTCACCACCTGCCCCCTTGACCCTGTCCCCACACAACTCCTACGATCAGCCTCTTCCTCCATCCTATGCACCTTCACTTACATCTATAATCTTTCCCTCTCTTCTGGCACATTCCCCTCCCCTCTAAAGCACACGCACATCACTCCCATATTTAAAAAACCCTCCCTGGATCTCACCTACCTGAACAATCTTAGACCCATCTCCCTGCTGCCATTTACATCCAAACTCCTAGAGCGCTTAGTCTATAATCGCCTGAGTTCCCACCCCACTGATAACAACCTCCTTGATCCCTTACAGTCTGGCTTTCGCCCCCTACACTCCACCGAAACTGCCCTACTCAAACTGACCAATGACCTGCTAAGCGCCAAAGCTAATGGCCACTATTCAGTGCTCCTACTTCTCGACCTCTCTGCGGCTTTCGACACGGTTGACCACCCCCTCCTCCTTAAAAAACTACACTCTCTTGGCCTCAGAGACTCCGCCCTCTCCTGGCTCTCTTCCTATCTATCACAGCGCTCCTTCAGTGTTACCTATAGCGCTGCCACCTCCTCTTCACTCCCCCTCTCTGTTGGGGTCCCTCAAGGTTCTGTCCTCAGGCCCCTTCTCTTCTCCATCTACACCTTCTCCCTTGGCCAATTGATACACTCTCACGGCTTCAACTACCATCTCTATGCTGACGACACACAAATCTATCTCTCTACCCTTCACCTCACCCCTTCAGTCTCCGCCCATATCACAAACCTACTGAACGACATATCGGATTGGATGTCACTCCACTTCCTCAAACTAAATCTTTCCAAAACTGAGCTCCTAGTTTTCCCCCCAGCCCACGCCCCCCCCCCCCCCCCGACTTCTCCATCAAGACCAACAACACCACCATCAGTCCCACCCCTCAAGCCAGAGTACTAGGTGTCATCCTTGACTCCAATCTGTCCTTCCAGCCCCAAGGTCCAATCACTGACAAACTCATGTAGACTTCACCTCTGCAACATCTCCAAAATACGTCCGTTC